CATATCCGGTCACATGGGCGGCAAGCCACTCCCACAAAGGAGGCCACACCCACAGAGTAGGTTCGAACAATTTTTGAAACCCACCACTGGTCTGGCCCGTGGGGCCACCCTGGAAATAGCAAAGGACTGGCCTGCGGTGCCTCTGTCAGTGAAAACGGAGCTCAATTGGGCCAGACACGGCCCTTCTGGGGCCTGTTTTCAGCCATGATGGCGTTTTGCAGCCATCTGCTAGCGAAAATAGAGCTCGGGGGGCATGCGCCCTGGACCCCATGTTTAGCCACAATGGCCTCCTGCTGCACTCTGCCAGTGAAAACAGGGCCTGCCTATGCTGGCCACACCCACCCCAGGCCCCCCAAGGTCAAACACAACCCTGATGCGGCTCTCAATGAAATCAAGTTTGACAACCCTGCTATACACCATCGAACCTTATTTTTAGATTATTTTATCCTGCCTTTTATTATTCTTTAATTTAATTGTTTTAAATAACTCGAGGTAGTAAACATACCTAATACTCCTTCCCTTTCCTATTTTCCCTACAATCTTGTGAGGTGAGTTCGGCTAAGAGAGAGAGAGAAAAAGAGAGTGACTGGCCCAAAGTCAACCCAATATTCGTGCCTAAGATGGGACTAGAACTCATGGTCTCCCGATTTCCCACTTTGGTGCTTTAAAACCAAGGGTCTTATAATAAACACAAATCCATGTTATTGGCATACCTGTGTTCTGTTCCACATAACTGAGGCTCGTGAATGGCCCAGTTTATTTCGACAGGGACCTTTGTCATAATGCCTTAAGAAGATGTCGTTCTGAAAGGCAAAATAGTACTCCATTATGTATATATTCAACCTTCTTGGATAACGAAGTGGCAACATGAGGGTCTTAGGCTTCCTCCAGCTCTATTTTATAAACTTGGAATTTCACAAAAATTAGTGTCACCAACACTTTGACACCAATTAACCTTCTATGGTGCATTTACTGCATGTTTTATAAGGCTTTGTAGAGTGTACAGCTTTATAAAGCAGGAAAAAGAATCACTGGCAAACGAGGAACAAAAAGGAAGATGTATCATTTGCAAAACTCCATTTATCCTCATCAAGTGTTATATGCCTGAGATCTGCTGCCATAAGATTTGGATGAAGAACTCAAAAAAAAGCAGAAGGAAAACCATGAGATGCCATCATGGAAAGTTAATGGTTTTAAGCATCGGTCTTCCTAGCTAGAAGGGTTAAACAACTATAGAGGAAAAACCTTTTTGCCAGAGACGACTTACATCCAAATTTTGTAGGCAGTACCAGCAAAATGTGTGCTTGCAATTTTTGCACATCATTTGAGCGCAGCCTTCGTTCCGCTCAATATAGATCCGACAGACTGGACACTGTTTAATTGGAGCTTCTGAGTTGTTTTTAATAAGCGTTCTGGAAAAGAAAAGGAGGGGAAAAAAACTCTGAAACAGTCTTAAGGGTACCCTGGCTATTTCGCTAATCATTCAGACTGAACTGAAGCACAGTTGCCTAGAAGAATATTATTGACCCATGTAAATGTGCTTCAGCTGGAGAAAAGCACTTCCCTTATGCAACAATTATCCACTGCAACCTTTGCAAACACATGCAAAAATCGTGACCCGTCAAAAGCGCGGAGGACAAAATCGCGCTCGACGAAAGCGCACATGTGACGTCATCACAGCGCGACGAAAAAAATTAAA